TTCTCTGATGTGGCCTTATAAGCCTCCAAAGTTCCACATCTCAAGCCAAGCTCAACGAAAGACCCGCGCAGGATCCAACTTTTCATCTGAGGCAGCTCTTCTTCAAGAATGGCCTGCCACAGAAGGTTCCAAAGACTTCAAGGTCTGCATCAAACCGATACGCGATCACATGCAGCTTGGCCCTCCGTGGCTCCTAATCGAGGGCCAAATCTGGTACCTGCCACTGGTGCCACAGCAACTTCCAGACATCCTCTTGCGGATGCACAAGCCGGAATCTTTGCCTGTTGGGCCAAGCCGTTGAAACAAGGAGAGGTGTTGAAACAAGGAGAGGTGAGGGGCTTTGGCGGCTATAGAATCCTACAAAATGACAAGTCGTTCCAGTTCAGGTGTTTCAGGTCAGCCCGGAATGCCATCCTGAAGCAGCCCAAGTAGTTTCTCACGGACAACACTTGCATCGCACCGGTGTAAAAAGCGGAAGGTTTGTGTAGCCAGACTTACACGGAAGAGCCAATGGACTCAGTGTGCCTGAATGTCGCTGAGGTCACACAGGCAAGGTTAGTCCAGCTCTCTTTTTCGGGCTGTTGGCACCGGCTCATGACTACACAAGAAAGGATCCTAATTGGAAACAGCCTGGAACTATCAAGCTGATATCCATGTCTGCCCTTTCATATTCATATTCTACTAAATCTCAACTTCAGGAACACAGCCACTGGCGTGTAACTGCTGATGTGTAGTTCCGGCACGGCGTGTTCCATTGCATCCAGGCACCGTACCAAATACTACAGCGTCAGGCTCTGTAAGCACAGGCAAGGAGCAGTTTTTCGCAGGTCTGCGACAAGCAAAGGCAACGAAGGCAAGCAGCAAGCACCTCATCTCACCATGTCACTGCCCCATGTTTAAGCCCTATTGATCCGGCTGTAGCACTTCCTTGCGCAACGTGATTTTTCTCAGATCTCATAATTCCTTTGAATTCATTTGATTTATCTGATGCCCCAAAGTCTCAAAGCATCTGCGACATGTGGGCCTTATTCCTTGGAGTCTCGGCACACGAGCAACGAGAGGGGCAACGCCAGAGCCATCTGCAAGTCAGGGCCCGGCGTGTGTGCGCGGCACTGCAACTTCCTTTCCGCTAATTTTTGGGGGTCATCTACAGTCACCCTCACTTGCTAATCTATCTATCACTAGTTAGAATAGTTAGAAAAGACTATCCACGAATATAGTGATGCCGCCTATGGACGACACCACGAAGAAGAGCCCAATGCGTGCTTTTAAAGCTGGCTCGCAGCAAACACCCGCACAATTTGAGCCGCTGCAATCTCTGCAAGCTTCCGGCCTGGAAGCTCCTCATTCTGACCAAGCAACCGGTCAAAGTTGGCGCAAGCCGGTTGAAACTGAAGGGTGAACTTCTTGAGCGCTTGGAGGTTCAAGTCAAAAAGCTTTGTGCCGCCAATGCGTCAACCATCTTCCAGTATCTTTCGGCCTTCCAGGTCGTGGTGCAAAGGGTGGTGTCTACGGTGTCTACCACGAAGGCATTGCGAACCCACAGGCTCTCCAGGCTGTCAAAAGCTGATGTGTGATCTACGCGCAGGCATGTCGCAGCGTCGCGCCCTTGGTTTTCATGCTGCGACCTTCTAACTTCAGAAACCAACGCCATCACCTTTCTAACCTCAGAAACCAATGCCTGATTCGTCACTAGTGGTGCCTTCTGCTGGTCATGTCAAACAAAAATCACAAGAAGTATGGGCCCGCAAAGCTTCTGTTTACACTGGCTTCCACGGCCAGCCTGCGCAAGGCCCAGAAGCTGCCCTCGCTTTTCAGGCGGCACGAGCCGCATCCCATTGGGCGGCCCATTGGCAGCCCATTGTGCGGCCCATTCTATCCCATCTTCAGATTTTGGCATCTGCGCTGCAACCATGCACCTGGGTCACCTACTTTACTCAGCATACTTCAAACGCAACCCGATTCAACCCGCATGCCCAAGACCGGAATCAGCAATCAACGCAGTGTAAGCAGTGACGCAGTGTAAGTCATACGAGTCATACTTTTTCCGAAAACGAGACAGGGAGCACCTCAAAGCATGAGACCTGCCAGGGCGAAAGCGCTACTTCTGCATCGCATCCGATGCTATCAGGTTGATGGCGCTATCTCTGGAGGATTCTCGTACCATGTTTGGCATCAGCGATGCGCATCAAAACATAGCGTTGAAACCCCGAAGGAAGGACTGAAAGGGCTGAAAGGCCTTGTTGCAACCGGCTTGTGCTACTTGTGCGGCTTGTGCTATCTGTGGCAACTGCGTCAAGACAGGCAAGTGCAACCGTGAGTGGTCACTGGCACTGTGCAGTGTTTGCGTTCAAACGGGCAGGGGCTTTTGAGGCTGTATAGAATTTCTGTAGAGGATGTGGCTGGCATTTCGGCCGGGTCACTATAAGCTTGTGAGCACTCCAATCCAGGGCATGGTCAGTGCATGTCAGAATCATTCAGAATCCAGGCCATCGGAATCCATTACATTCGCAATTCGCAGGGAATTTTTATGCATCGATAGCTTCTTCTCTTTCTTTCGTAGCATCTGATTAAAATCAATGCTCACAAAACAAGGGTGTTGCCAGCCAAGAATGGATGGAACCTTTGCCTTTCTAGATTTCATACCATCCCACCAAGCAAGGTCTTTGGATGTGTGCCTCTGATTCTTCGACGTCCTTCTATCCTTTGCGCCTCCGTGCGGTTTTCTTGCAGCCTCTGAGGCTGCCGTAGGGTCTTTCAGTTTCGTCTTGTACTGTTGTTTTTCCGGGGGCATTGGAGAATTAGAACAACTGGCCAAGGCCAGCCAGTGAGCGAAACCCTCCAAATTAATCCAAGATGTCGCGTCACTTTCATATTGTCATCCATCTTATCCACCTTACTGTGCATCCATATCTAACTAACTAACATGAAGTAACAAGCCAGCTACCCTCAGCACGCAAGCTTTTCCATGCAAACTTGGTGCATGCTCTGCCCTTTTTCAAAAAAAAAATAAATGGCTGGCCTCTTCACGCTTCTTCACGACCAAATATTACTTTTTGTCGGCCTCTGCCACCGAGCATTGCCTTGATGAGCCTTCACCCCGCACTGGTATGTTTTGAAAATGTTGATACTGTTTTGATCTTGCTTGAATTTGTCCTATATACTATAGATTGGGCTCACTTCTTATGCATTTCCTACCAAAATGTGACCTATATATTCTATCATATTGTATCAGTGTTTTTGTGACGGCTTTGTTGCTTAGCTTGGGCGAACGTCCATGAAACCCGAAGAAACGCGCGAGCTTGGTTCTACCTATTCGCCGCTGTCCCTAGAAGGGAATAAGATATGAAACCAAGGGAGGAGAAGCTGGGAGTCGAACATGAACAGATTTAACACTAGCACTCTGAGCACTCAAAATCCCAACTGCTCTTGCTTCTAGGACCAGCTTTAAACTTAAATGCGGGCGCGCAGTCAGTTCAACCCAATTCGAGCCGCTATCGTGAGCGCAATAAGTTTAGCATAGTTTAGGGCTTACATTTACATAATCGGGTGTCTGTTTCCAGACCTGCTTTCTTGCTAGGAACTCACGAGCCTTCATGAGTCAGCGTGGGCATGAGGTGCATGGAAAGGAAAAAGGAGAAATCCATCAATGTGAATGTCATGTTGTTTTAAGCACAGTACCTCTCTGTCAACGTCTGTCAGGGTACCGCTCTCTCGTTTAAGAGCCTTGGTGTGATTAGTGATAGTGGCCTCTTTCCTGTCTCAGTTCTGAAGATCGTGCACAACATCAGTTTTTTTCCTGCAAGACGCCGGTGCATATGTGGCTTGCCATGCCTACTCTCTCGCACTCTCTTGATCACGGCGGAAATTTTGGGAAGGCATTGCTGCGAGCTGCCTGGCCAGAGCCGAAACTTACAGGGCACAATGCAAACACTTCACCCAAGCCGACCAAGCTAAAATTTCTGAATTCATCTGAATTCAGTATGTCCTAGACAACTCTGTTCAAGTAGATTCTCATCCTGCGAAAGTGGGCACAAAGCCTCCAGATATGCACAGATGTCCAAACAAATCTGCCTGCGTAAACCTCCCTATTTTCAAAACCGATTGAAACCGGTCTCCCGTTCCATTTCGTGATGTGCATCTCTCAACCGCGCTCCGCCCCTCTAAGTCACGCTTACACATCTTATACCTCATACCCACCTCAGAAAGCACCAAATGCCTAGAGCTGCACCGGCATAGCATCTGAGAGAAGGCTAAGAAGGCTTTCTTGGAGTCTGAGCAATCCAGAAACTCTGGCCAAAGGGAAAGCTGGGAAGCACAACGGATCACGACTGTTACAAGAACCACCATGTTTCTCTGATGTGGCCTTATAAGCCTCCAAAGTTCCACATCTCAAGCCCAACTCAACGAAAGACCCACGCAGGAGCCCATCAAAAGCATGTTTCTGGCCAAAATTCCTTGACACTTGAACCACAACATGGTACAAACACACACTTCAATCTCGGAATGCCCATCTGCGAATGGAATCAAAGTCAAATGCATCATGCTTGAGGAATCTTGAAGATGTGAGTTTGCCTCAGGCTCTCTGCGACATAGGCTCGAAACGTGCAAGTTAAAGCTGTTGCAAAAGCGGGGAGTCATTGCTTACGGGATGCAAAATCAGACACAGCCTTTGGCGGAACCTAAGTGAATGAATGTGCATCATTCTCGGCAGGGTGCGAGTCAGCCTTGGCCCAAAGCTCGGATAGATTTAGCAAATTCAGCAAGGCAAATTAGCAAACAATGCAAGTGGCTGCAATATTGTGTGGTTGCTTGAAAAATCCAACACGGGGCCCCGTCTGTTGTTTCCGCCCTGTCCCTATCCGTCCTAAGCACCACAGACTCATTTGGCTAAATGATTCAAGGCCATCTGGAAACTGCTGGCAGTATGGCAACTTGGCTTTCTTTGCTGTCGCCAGGGAGGTCCAAGCGCTTGTGAAAAGAAAGCACGGCGAATGGACCTAGAGTCTTAGAGCACTGCCCGCCGGTGGAAGCACCTTTTGTTGCGTGGCGCCCTTGGCTGCTGTAATGATGTCATTAGACGGCAGAATCGCAACAGTCGAACAAGTGGCCAGCTGCATATCTACAGGCGACGCCAACAGAAAATGCAAGCGAGCCTGCACTAGTTTCGCCGGACTACTCGGGCCTGGGGTTGCGTAAAGATCGAAAAGCTATAAGCTATAATATGTCGTTTGGTCAAAATGAATTTCTTGGTGAGGCCATACATTGCCAGAATATGCCGGCACGCTGATCTGGAATACCGACAAAGCCGGAATGCCATTCCATATTTGGAAGAGGCACCCATTCACAAGCTAATGCGGCGGAATGTGTGCTGTCCTCTGTGCAGTCAGGATCTTGTATCCACGGATTCAAGTGCAGAAGGCTTGCCACAGCGAACCACTTCACGGAGACCGCATCATAAACACAACATGCCATCCCTCTGTTGAAAGTGTTAATTTGTTTCAAATGTAGAAGGATCTCAAAGGGTGGCGTGGGTGTTTTTTCAAAGAATCCTTCTTGCTTCCCACCTTTTGCACGTTCTCAGATGCAAACTCCTGCAGCTACAGATTGAATTTAGGGCTCGGCACTAGCGGTTGCAGGGATCTCTCAGCAACGAAATATGTGACAAACAACAAAACTCGACGCTCGAGGTGAGACATGAAGATCAAAAAGTTTTAAGTTTCTGGTTTGAAGACTAGGCAACATCGGCCAACAAATTCTCAAGACTTCAGTGCGCATCCCGAGCATGGCGAGCATATTGGTGAACCTTTACAAGTACATCCTGGGAATTTGGACAGTGATGCCATGGGCAGCCAGTCGGCTACTTGCATACATGTGTGTATAAATGGTTTTGTTGGCCAACCAGTTGCTACCGGTCGCGCGTTTGGACGTCAGGGACTGGGGCAGAACATTGGACAGAACTATATCATCGTTTTGCTTGGGTGTTACATGTTTGAAGTTTATTCACTAGCCGATATCACTAAGTGGGACAGCCATTGAAGTATGCAAACTAGGCATTGCCTGCAAGGAACCAGCTACAATGCTGCGTTAAGAACCCCAACTGTCCACCTTTGTCATTTTCCCAAAGGAAATCCTGTTGAGAATCATGGATCTGCCACTGGCATAGCAATATGATTCGAACTGCTGCAAAAAGGGTGAACAATGGCGGCCCACTCCCACAAATCAGGATTATCAGGATCATTTGGGAGCAGGGAGTTCATTCAACAAGCTGTTGATCTAGAACTGCCATCATCAACAGGTTCTGTTTTGAAACCAGGGGTGCTGTAGGCAGAACTTTGTGCTTAGCATCAACTGACCATTACGAGGTCGAAATCATTTAACAAGAAATTGGATTCACCGGTATCAAGTGCTTGGCTCGGGTTGCCGATCACCACCTTGGCAGGTCAATACCATGAGATGACCTCGGCCACCGCTGCGAAGCCGTCTCAGCTGTCATCGCCTGCATCCAGCCGCCATCCAGCCACATCTAACGACACGGAACCAAATCCATCATTACTTTCTGTGGGCCTTCACAGCTGCGGCCAGCAACTACAATAGGACATAGTATAGCATCATATAGTATAGTATAGTAAAGTATAGTATAGTATAGCATAGCATACTATAGAACAATACAATATATATAGTATAGTATAGTCCAGTATAGTATAGTATAGTATAGGGGTTCAGATTAGTTTTTGGATTTTTTTGGTTCAGGTTTTGTTGTTTTTTGTTTTCTTTCCTGGTACCATTTGCCTTGTATTTGTAACAGTTTGGAACTAGAAACTGTCATTTTGCATGGTATTTGCTACATTCTGGCATGGTTACTTTGCATTCTGCATGGGTTGCTACATTTTGGCATGGTTACTTTGCATTTTGTATGGCATTAGCTACATTTGGCCATGTTGGCCTTCCATTTTGCATGGTATTTGCCATGTTTTGGCACTTCAAACGTTTATGTGGGTTTCTTGAGAATTTCTTTAGGCTTTCATTTAGGGTTTCATTTAGGGTTTCATTTAAGGTTTCATTTAGGGTTTCGCTAGAGTTTCATTTAGGGTTTCATTTAGGGTCTTATTTAGTGTTTCTTTAGGGTTTCATGTAGGGTTTCTTATCGTGGATTTCTTTTGGGGTTTCATTTAGGGATTTTTTAGGGTTTCATTTAGGGTTTCTTTAGGGTTTCATTGAGGGTTTCTGTAGGGTTTCATGTAGCGTTTGATTTAAGGATTCTTGGGGGGGTGGTTCATTTAGGGTTTCATGTAGGGTTTCTTATCAGGATTTCTCCAGGATGTTCAAACGTTCATGTGGGTTTCTTCACGGTTTCATGTAGGGTTTCATTTGCGGTTTCTTTAGGGTTTCATTTAGGGTTTCTTTAGGGTTTCATTTGGGGTTTCATTTAGGGTTTCTTTAAGGTTAATTTGTGTTTTTTTAGGGTTCATTTAGGGTTTCATTTAAGGTTTCTTTAGGGTTTCACCATGTTTCACCTAGGGTCTTCAGGGTTTCATTCAGGATACAAAAAGGAGAGAATAAAGCAAAAGAAAAGAGAAAAAAAAGAGGCAGTAAAGACAGGAAGCAGAGAAGCAGAGGAGCAGGAAGTAGAGCAGCAAAAGCACATGACTGAAGAAAAGAAAAAGTAGAATAGTAGAAGTAGAAAGGCACAGGAGCACAATAGCAGAAAAGCAGGGAAGCAGAGAAGCAGGGAAAGCAGAGAAACAGAAAAGAAAAGAAGCAGGTAAAGCAAAGAAGCAGGCAAAGCAGAGAAGCAGAAAAGCATGAAAAGCAGAGCAGGAAAAGCAAAAAGCAGGAGAGCAAAAAGCAGGAAAGCATGAAAATCAGAGAAGCAAAAAAGCAGAGAAGCAAAGAAGCAAAAAATCAGAGAAGCAGAGAAGCAAAGAAGCAGAAAAGCAGAGAAGCATAGAACCAAGAACCCACCAAAAAAAGAACAAAAACTGCCGCGAAAATAATGGAGCAAGGCAAAGTCGAAACATTTCCCAACTCTGCAACATAATTTTTTGCCTCCGCGGTTCTATCTGGGCCTAAACGTCAACTATGTTTGGAATTAAAACAACAATTGGCGTGGTTATAGTCCGGACTCACGATTTGCAACAGGTCGGTCACGAAAGCAAACCATTCATGTATATACGTGGGTCTTTCATGCTATTTCTATCCTGACCATTCCTCACCTACTTTCATCTACACTCATCTGTGCGAACTGTCTGGAACCCATCTGTTGGACCATCCGTCAAACCTATGAATCCTGGTCACGTCGCCTGAGATGTTCCTGCGTGTAGCAGAAAGATGTGCTCAGCATTTTTTCAGCGCATTTTCAAGTGGAAGGTCCTATGTACAAGTGAAATCCACTCAGAACTCGTTGAAAAAGTTGCGGTAGAAGTAAACCTTTGAAAAAATTGCAGATGCAACAAGGTGGCAACGGTGCGCCGAGACAGTGTCATGCTTTCATTTTGCGTTAGCCGCTGTTAGCCATTGGGCGCGCGCGTCTCACGGTGAACCGAACCGAACCGATTCCTACCGACCAGGAACCGCACCTAACTGAATCCTTCCTGAGAAAGCAAGCACGCAAGATGCAAGCAGAAAGCAGGCAGAAGGTAAGTAGAAACCAATCAGAAACCAACTTGAAGGCAGCGGAAAGTAAGCAGAAGACACAGAGAGAGAGAGAGAGACAGGACAGGACAGCACAGGACAGGACAGCACAGGACAGCACATGCAGGACAGCACATGCAGGACAGCACGGGACAGCACGGGACAGCACGGGACAGCATGGGACAGCACGGGACAGGACGGGACAGCACGGGACAGCACGGGACAGCACGGGACAGGACGGGACAGGACAGACAGGACAGACAGGACGGAGACAGAGACAGAGACAGAGACAGAGACACAGACAGACAGCCAGCCAGCCAGCCAGCCAGGCAGGCAGGCAGGCAGACAGACAGACAGACCGAGAGAGAGAGAGAGACAGACCACAGACAGACAGACGGACAAACGGACAGGACAGGACAGGACAGGACAGCACAGGACAGCACAGGACAGGACGGACAGGACGGACAGGACGGACACGACGGACACGACGGACAGTGACAGGACGGACAGGACGGACAGGGCGGACAGGACGGACAGGACGGACAGGACGGACAGGACGGACAGGACAGAGAGACAGCCAGACAGACAGACAGACAGACAGACAAACAGACAGACAGCCAGCCAGCCAGCACAGACAGAGAGACAGACAGACAGACAGACCGACCGACCGACAGACAGATGGACGGACGGACAAACGGACGGACAGACGGACGGACGGACAGGCGGACAGGCGGACGGACAGACCGCCGCACGGACGGACGGACAGACGGGCAGACGGACAGATGCACAGACGGACAGACGGACAGACGGACAGACGGACAGACGGACAGACAGACAGACAGACAGAGAGAGAGGCAGACAGACAGAGAGACAGACAGAGAGAGGGGCAGACAGAGAGACAAACAGAGAGACAAACAGAGACAGAGACACAAAGACACAGACAGAAAGACAGAGACAGAAAGACAGAGACAGAAAGACAGAGACAGACAGAGACAGACAAAGACAGACAGAGACAGACAAAGAGAGACAAAGACAGACAAAGACAGACAAAGACAGACAAAGACAGACAAAGACAGACAAAGACAGAGAAAGAAAGACAGACAGAGACAGACAAAGAAAGACAAACAGAGAAAGAGAGAGAGAGAGAGACAGAGAGACGCAAAGACAGAAAGACAGGAAGACAGAAAGAGAGACACAGAGACAGAGAGAAAGGAGAGAGAGAGAGAGAGAGATATATATATATATATATACATAGTGATTTTTTAAAACATATAAACGTTTCCAGCTGAAATCACGCACGAGCATGCGCGCGAGCATTTGACACATGCGCGCGCGAGACACGCGAGCAAAGACAAGCGCGTGCGCGAGGTAAGCGAGCAAGGCGCGCGAGCAAGGCGCGCGAGCAAGGCGCGCGAGCAAGGCGCGCGAGCAAGGCGCGCGTGCCCGCAGGGATTAGCTGGCGCGCGTGTGCACACGCGCACTTCAGACACACGCGTGCGCGCGCAAATAAGTTCTCCAACAGTGGGTTAGCTTATTTACGCGCACGGAAAACTTAAAGTGAGCTTATTTGCGCGCGCCGCGCGCGCGTGTTGTCCTGCGCAGGCGCATTGCTCGCGCGCCTTGCTCGCGCACCTCTCACGCGCGCCTGTCTTTTCTCGCGCGTCTCAATGCTCGCGCGCTCGCGCTGCGCACCCCGCGGCTGGTGAGGCACCATAAATGAACTCATATGTTTTGAATCAAGCCAGTATATATATATACACAGTATTTTTTGTGTATATATATATATCAATATATGCAGCCAATAGGGGGTCTTTGGAATTTGATTCTAGGGTCCTTGGTGATTGAGTTCTACCTCTGATTGTGTGATATATGTTTTCCATTATTTATTTCTTTATCTATCTTATCTATCAAGGTAGGTGGCCTGGGTATATACTAATGAAAATGATCCCAAAGGAAAGATCGTCTTGGGTTAGTGTCCCTTGGATGTTTCAATATATTGTTAATTCTTATCCGCCAATCGGTAATCATTCCAAGATGGGGATTGATAATTTGTGTCTCCATCCATTTACCCTTCTATTCGTGGAAGTGCCAGTCAGAACAAACGATCACCATTCGATCGTAGTTCAAATAAGTTTTTTTCGGGTTTGGTACTTCGATAAAATATAGAATATATTATATCCATGTTTTGCAATTGATCTGGGCTCTCTGGAAATGGATTCTTGGGTCTTTCCAAATATTTTTTTTATGATAATGGAATTGAATTGTATTTTTGGTACCTTATTATTTTCCCTATGAGGTAACCAATTGGCTGATTAAATGGGTATCATCTTACCATTAGTTTTTTAATGTAACTATTTGTTTTTTACCATGCTCATAGAAAATTCTGTGTGCATTATTATGTTCACTCTTAGGCAACCACTTGGTTGGCTAAATTGATATCATCCCAGTATCGGTTAGGGTTATTTTATTTTATTATATTCCTTGGATTAACTGGGGGCCACTACCACTTCTGAAGGGTACCCAACCAATTGCTGGATCAAAATGGAAAAGGTATCAACCACGCTCTTGTTTTTTCTAGGGTGGTGCCCCTATATACCTTTGGTATAAAGCCAATGTTATCCCTGATGATCATTATTTTTTTTTTCAAGTACTAAATTTCCCCCATTATTTCTACGTCTACATCATATATCCTTTAAATGCAATGTCCAACAGCTAATTTGCCGAAGTCAGGGCACAGAAATCAGCACCCTGAGTTAGGAAAAAAAATTGCCGATATCCTAGGTGCTTGGTGGGGTATTGCCTAAGTAAGGTCGCAAAAATCTGCACCTAGACTTAGGCAATACAAAGGTTGTACCCTGGGATTTAGGGACAAAAAAATGCCGATCTCAGGGTGCAGAAATTGGCATGTGGACTTAGGAAACAGCCCTACTATTATATTCTACCATGATTTTTGCCGCAAAGGATTCGGGGTCCTTGATTTTGAGATTTAGGAAAGAAAATGCCGATCTTTTGGCTTGGGGGGCCCGTATCCATCGCAACCACACATCCGTCGCATAACCATATTTTATTTTATATTTTATCGAAGTACCCAACCCCAAAAAAAAAACTATCTGAACTACGATCGAATGGTGATCGTTTGTCCTGACTGGCACTTCCACAAATAGAAGGGTAAATGGATGGAGAGACTACTTCAATCCCCATCTTGGCATGACTACCGAAAGACGGACAAGAACTAATAATATTGAAACATCCAAGAGACACTAACCCAAGACGATCTTTCCTTTGGGATCATTTTCATTAGTATATACCCAGGCCACCTACCTTGATAGATAAGATAGATAAAGAAATAAATAATGGAAAACATATATCACACAATCAGAGGTAGAACTCAATCACCAAGGACCCTAGAATCAAATTCCAAAGACCCCCTATCGGCTGCATATATTGATATATATATATATATAATAGATAATATATTTTTCCCCACCTGCCAGGTGAGGGTTGTTAGATTTTATGTCAGTTGCCTCCTCGTCCTCCTTCTCCTCCTCCTCCTCCTTCTCCTCCTCGTCCTCCTCTCCTCCTCCTCCTCGTCGTCCTCGTCGTCCTCGTCGTCCTTGCTCAACTGCGACCCGCGATCCACAGTGTTCTCTGCCGGACCTCAACCACGACCATCCACGCCCAGTGTTCCCTGCCGGACCTCAACCACGACCATCCACGCCCATGTTCCCTGCCGGACCTCAACCACGACCATCCTCGCCCAGTGTTCCCTGCCGGACCTCAACCACGACCATCCACGCCCAGTGTTCCCCGCCGGACCTCAACCACGACCATCCACGCCCAGTGTTCCCTGCCGGACCTCAACCACGACCATCCACGCCCAGTGTTCCCTGCCGGACCTCATGTCGGCGAAGATATGGGGGGGAACAAAGAATGTTCAAGCAAGTTATAAAGAAAGAATGCAGAAAGAATGTCAGAAGATATGCCAGAAGATATGCCAGATAGAAGGCCAGATAATATGCAGAATATATGCCAGATAGAATGCCAGATAGAATGCCAGCAGATTTTGCCAGAAGAATGCCAGAAAATATCCATAAGATATGCCAGATATATATGTCCAGAAGATATGCCCAGAATATATGCCAAAGAAATGCCAGACAGATATGTCAGAATATATGCCAGAAGATATGTCATAGAATGCCAGAAATATGTCAGAATATATGCCAGAAATTATGCCAGATAGAATGCCAGAAGATATGTCAGATAGAGTTGCCAGAAGATATTGCCCGATAAATGCCAATCGAATGCCAGAAGATATGCCAGATAGAATGCCAGAAGATATGCCAGAAGATATGCCAGATAGAATGCCAAATAGAATGTCAGAAGATATGTCAGATAGAATGCCAGAAGATTTGCCAGTAAGAAAATGTATAAATGTCATGGTGGGGATCACACGAAGTAAAGTAATTTATTTTATCAAAGTACCAAACCCAAAAAAAAACTATTTGAATTACGATCGAATGGTGATCGTTTGTTCTGACTGGCACTTCCACGAATAGAAGGGTAAATGGATGGAGACACTAATTATCAATCCCCATCTTGGAATGATTACCGAATGGCGGATAAGAATTAATAATATTGAAACATCCAAGGGACACTAACCCAAGACGATCTTTCCTTTGGGGTCATTTTCATTAGTATATACCCAGGCCACCTACCTTGATAGATAAGATAGATAAGGAAATAGATAATGGAAAACATATATCACACAATCAGAGGTAGAACTAAATCACCAAGGACCCTAGAATCAAATTCCAAAGACTCCCTGTCGGCTGCATATATTGATATATATATATATATAGATCATATATTTTATATTTTATCAAAGTACCCAACCCAAAAAAAAAACTATTTGCACTACGATCGAATGGTGATCGTTTGTTCTGACTGGCACTTCCACGAATAGAAGGGTAAATGGATGGAGACACAAATTATCAATCCCCATCTTGGCATGATTACCGAATGGCGGATAAGAATTAACAATATATTGAAACATCCAAGGGACACTAACCCGAGACGATCTTTCCTTTGGGATCATTTTCACTAGTACCAAGGCCACCTACCTTGATAGATAAGATAGATAAAGAAATAGATAATGGAAAACATATATCACACAATCAGAGGTAGAACTAAATCACCAAGGACCCTAGAATCAAATTCCAAAGACCCCCTATCGGCTGCAAAACCTATATATATATATCATATCCTGCATTCAAGCCACGCATTCAGGCGCATCATCGCGAACAATGACAGCCCGTTTCTCTGCGTCTTGCAGCAAGTACCTTGCCTGGCTGGTGGCTGGGCACAATAAGCACGGACACCACTGGCGCTACTTGTCGCTGCTTGGTCTTGAAGCTGTTTCGTGCTGGTTTGCCTCGGTAGCTGTGATCTTCAGCTCGATGGACACTCGAAATGCCGAAAGCGGCGCTTCCTGGCATGTGAAGCCCCGGGGCCGCATGACAAGAAAGGAAACGCATCAAAGTCAGAACGCGCAATGATACAGACAGGGTGCAGGTGCAGCCTCCAGCAACTGCATTAGTGGAACATCCATATCAGCATCACTTGTCCTGCAGGATGCAGGGATCTGATGGGATTTGCAGGGTAGGAACTCCTCCCGCAAACACCCGAACATAATTCTGCAATAAGAACTGCAACACAGTGTGGTCTGAGTCCTTGCCAAGGCCACAGCCTCGCTTCCATCACTTGACATTGCTCGGAACTACTCAAGCACCCTTTTTCATCCTTTTTCATCACTTGTCACCAAACCATTTCGTTTGACCTCCTTTCCTTGCTTCGGTACCGTCCGCGTCCACACTACCTCTTGGGCCAGGCACCACTGCACCTGCTGAACCCAACTTGCGCATCCTCAATGGACCGCATGGCTTGCAACCTCACTTACAAATTATATATGTCAGATGTGAGATGTGTGCTCAGAATACGCGCACCTTCCCCCCCGTCCATCAAGAAGTCTCAAAGCGTCTCATGCGTCTCAGATCAAACAGCTGCTTGTGATAACAGACGCCAAATGTTGGATCCCTTACATAATTTATATAGGTCCATTGGTTCCGGTTGGATTCAAGCAATGAAACAAAAATTTGACCCTCCAACTCGTCAGGCAATTCAGGCTCTCAGATCGCAGCATGTCCGCAAAGCTTTGATCACCTCAACGGGGCGCTAAACATGCATTATGTTGGCTGCAGGAACTATAGCCGGGAAACACCCAAGTCGCAAGAAAAATCCGAGTTACAGACACATGTCAATGGGCAGTTTTCATGTCACCAGCTCAACCACACAGCAGGCAGATGATTAGTTGAGAAGCTGACACGGGAGGTAGCAGAAGCATTAGAATGCATTGGATCATGGTATGTCTGACATGTCTGCCAAGCACTTTGTTTTTCAAGGTTTCACGGCTCGAGACGGCAGCGGGCCTCGATCTGGAAAAGCTGGCAGGGAAAAAAACACGCGGCTGCAGCGAGGGCTCGGCTTTCACAGGAGTCTGCATCTTCAGAACACTTCTTTTGGCAGATGGGGTGGAAAAAGCGCACGAGACTGCAGCAAGAGCCAAGGTCCGAAAGTAACCCGGAAAAGTCCACAAGCGATATGTGGCGCAAAAAGGCGTTTGCGAAACGTATTGGAAACTGCTGCGCCATGGACAGGATCTCGTGCTATGCCGGAATGCAACCGGTGATTGCATGTCTTCAAATGTGGTGGCTCTGGCGCTATGTGGGAATGCAACTGCTACATGCGGTGGAGTGGCCGGACCCGGAGCTATGCCGGAATGCAAATTGCAGTTTGCTAGGCGCAGTGGAATGTCTGCGCTGAGGATCATATTTTGTTATGTTGCGAACCTTGCGAATGTAACTGACGGTCGCTAAACGTATTGGAACCGCTGCCCGAAAGTGCCTAGAGAAGAGGCAGGTCAGAGTAGCTGAAAAACTAGACGGCGGTTGGCCCGAGAGCGAAAAAGACGTTTTTCAAGCAGCTCTGAGTATGATAGTCGCAAAAAATAGTTGGTGAATGGTTGGTGAATTTTATATGAGCTATGGAGGGATAAGTTGTGAGAAGTAAGACTGATTAAGAAGAGGATACATGTGACAACCCATGCATATGCACTGTGCTGCTTGGTAAAGGGCATCATATGACACGTGTCTTGCAACCACAGAGAGACATAGATAGAGAGAAGGGGAAAGAGTGGGAGAGAGAGAGAAAGAGGGGGAGAGAGAGAGAGAGAGGGAGAAATAAAGGGAGATAGAAAGAAAACATGAAAAATTAGAGCAACAAAAGTGCACAGGAGGCTCGGTACCATGATTCTGCGAATGACATGCGTTATCTCATTTTACTATGGCCGGCGCATACCCAACAGAGCGCATTAGCCCATCACCCCTGTTGTCATATTCTGATGATAGCCCGAGCTATCGCCAGAACGTTGGCCTCAAGTTATGCGTATCTCTGTGTCTCCCACCACCGGCCAACGTGGTGCCAGACGCGTTGGAGCAAGCTGTTAGGTAAGGACAAGCAGAAAGAGACAGCATGAAAAATGCAACGCGAGAACATGCCGATGGCAAGTAAATGATGTATATGGCACATTCTTCCCAATGAAACTTACTTGCGCAGACGCCATCAAGTCGAAACAAACTCATGTTTCAGCAGGAATGTTGCGAATGACGTTGTAAAGTGAGCTGATGATGTGAATGACACTGTATTATAGAAATTTTCACAAAGGTATACGAAAAAAGCTCGGCACCACTCGATGTTATGTGACTTTGTTATGGACATTTCCACGAAAGTACACAGAAAAGCTCGGTACCATGATGCTTTGAAATCGCAATGAAACGTTGTGGCTCAGAAGTGGTAACCTTAGTGCATAGCACAGCGCTGGACACATTCCAGTAATTTGATCTACTTCAAGACAAAAACATCCACCAAAAGCCCAGGCCGGTACCAAACTGGCGCAAGAGTCACCTCAGAAATTTCAGATTGCACGATCATGCATAGTTGTTCACTCGTACCAAGATGAGATCGTCTGTCATCGAGTTGGATCACACACTAGATAAGAATGGATCATTGTAGTGATCCGGCAGGAACTGAATCATGTAACATGCAAATTAGACAGGAAGCGAATTAATCTACGACGAATCCTATGAATACATGAAAATAATGATGATGTTGGGGTACTTGGCTTAGCCCCTTGCCATCACCGTGAAAAATCGCAGGTACGCCAGACTGATCAGGTCTGGTATCACCACCAATTGCAAGTGTCTTCGTTGGCAGTAGACTTGCAATGGTGCTACTGCCCCCTGCATTATTTAAGAAGGGAGAAGAGGGAAGAAAAAAGAAAAAGAAGGAAGTTTTACATTTTACATCTATCCAGATGTTACACACACACACACCCGGCAGAGCCGGGGAAACCCTGAAAGGCAAGAGGAAGAAAAAAGCGGACACACGACGGGCCGACGACCAAAAACAGCGCGGGGGGGGAGGGGAACAGACGGACCTCCGGAACCAACCTACACGGCGAAACGGACCTGACAAAAACAGAGCACACACCTAAACCCAACGACACACTACGGAGAAGCCAGCAGGAGGGTTATTAGGGACCAATGGGGACTAGTTGGTGAAAAAAAGGAAACAACAAAATTGTCAAACAGGACTCAGTTCCTAAAAAAACCTAAAGGTCGTGCGTTATTCCCTTGCCGGGACCGTGGTCAAGTCTTGCCCCAATTGGCATAAACGGCTTTCAAGTTCCAGCGAATTAGGTGCACAATATGTTTGACCTCACCAGAAAACCAAAAAGAAAAAACACCACACCTGCAAGTCGTGTGCCTGCCTGGTTCTTGTGTCATGTAATGATGCAATGTGACTGCAAAAGTTGCTGTGAAATAAGAGGTTTCTGAATGTTCGGCACAGCTTCACACAGTAGAAATGCATTCCACAGGGTTCACAAAGGACAGCCGGAGCAGCGAGAATCTCCAAATAACGGTGGATAACAGTAAGGCCCACTGTTGCACTTTACTTAAACGAATTACTAATTCAAAAGTGTAAATTCGGAAGTCAATTCAGTCGACATTCACCCCAAATAGGGTTGCCTCACTTGGCCCTACGGCACCATGTCGGAGTCACCATAGGAATCACACTAGATAAGAATGGATCATTGTAGTGATCCGGCAGGAACTGAATCATGTAACATGCAAATTAGACAGGAAGCGAATTAATCTACGACGAATCCTATGAATACATGAAAATAATGATGATGTTGGGGTACTTGGCTTAGCCCCTTGCCATCACCGTGAAAAATCGCAGGTACGCCAGACTGATCAGGTCTGGTATCACCACCAATTGCAAGTGTCTTCGTTGGCAGTAGACTTGCAATGGTGCTACTGCCCCCTGCATTATTTAAGAAGGGAGAAGAGGGAAGAAAAAAGAAAAAGAAGGAAGTTTTACATCTATCCAGATGTTACACACACAGACAGACAACACTTTTCAACTTTTGAACTGCTGGTCGCACTATATAATGAGTTCACATGTTCGTCACGAACAGTCTTTACAGACAAACAGCAGTTGGCTACTGATCCTGCAGGTTCGCCACGAACAGATTCTCCAGACGAACAGTGGTGCAAATTCGTTTCTGTCCGCCGCACTGAGTTCCATGTGCCACTCGGTACGCAAACCTTCCAGTTTCCACAAAGCCTCCAAGACATAGGGGCAATTGTGCCAAGGGCACAAGGAAAGCCTTTTCTCAAGCAGCAGCTGGACGGCATCCTCTGCAGAGTAGTTGTAACCCACGACGAGCCAAGCACATAAAACCCCAGCGCTTCGATTGATGCCTCCAAAGCAATGGAAGAGCACGTGCATGGATTCGCCCCTGGTCACTGCCAGCATGGATTGTTTCCAGAGTTGGCAACAGACAATTTTCCACTGTTCCAAACAAGAAGCTACCAAGTCAGGGATTCGTTCATCCCAACGGTAGAAAAGGTGCGGCGGCGTCAATGTCGTGTCCTCCAACTGACACTTGATGTGAAAGACTTTTTCTTGCTGGAAATACCGCATCCAATCCTTCGGGGTGAATCTTCATTTCATTTGCGCACATGGTCACGACCACGGTGACCTTCACCAACAGAGTCTTCAAAATGTCTTCCAAGCTACACGCCGCTTTGATGCTTCCAAGCAACACCGACGTTCGATCCGTAGGTTTGTAGATCACGGCAGCGTCCAACGGCCACTGCTCTATGGACTTGAAACTGTAAGGGTGCTGCCAGGTAATGCGGTCCAGGTCATTCCAACATTTTTTGTCGGCGTAAGCCCTCCTGATATCCTCTTCTCGCACCGCTCTCCACTCGCAAGCGCTGGTGGTCATGGCGGCAACTGTGATCTAACAGACAGTCCCTACAGAAATACAAAGTTGGAAGTATGAAACTATGCAATATGCCCGTGTCAGACACTGTCAGTGCACTCTTACAATTTTTGAAGCACGGTGCAGGCAGGCATGCCAGTTCCTACCGCGCAAAGCGCAATGCTGCAAAATAGCATGCGAACACCCGCAAAATCATACAGGACTCCATGATTCAACTAAACACAAATCGATCCTTGCAGTCACATATCACCTCAACAGGAAACAGATATCAACTTTCAATGCAGCCGTTCCATATCCACGGACAGCCCCCACAGAATATAGAACAATAACCAAAGACAATCTCTAAAGAATGAATGCAAGACAATATCCACGGAAGGAAAATGTCGACGACATTGCTTTGAATCATTTCTGCGTCCACTTGGGGCTCCGATCAAACGATTCGCTCCAACGTCCAGTTGAATGCCGCTCGCACAGAGAACGCGGTTGCAAAAGCTCCATGCTTGAATCCCACGGGACTCTATGATCCAACTAAACACAAATCAATCCTCGCAGTCACATACCACCTCAACAGAAAACAGAAATCAATTTTCAATAAAACCATTCCATGTCCACGGACAGTCCCTACAGAACATGGAACAATCACAAAACACAATCTCCAAAGAATGAACGCAAGACCATATCAATCCATATCATACCATATCCACAGAAGAAAGATGTCGACAATATTGTTTTGAATGCATCTCTGCATCCACTCCAAAATCGCAAGTTTACCTCAGTTTTTGACGTCCAACGTCCATTTCGTGCGAAAGGGTTGCGACCGACACCTCAAAATCGCAAAATTACTTCAGTTTTTGACGTCCAACGTCCATTTCGCACGAAAGTGTTGCGGCGGACTAACTAAAATCGCAAAATTACTTCAGTTTTTGACGTCCAACGTCCATTTCGTGCGAAAGGGTTGCAGGGGGCACCTCAAAATCGCAAAATTACTTCAGTTTTTGACGTCCAACGTCCATTTCGCACGAAAGTGTTGCGGCGGACTAACTAAAATCGCAGTTTTACCTCAGTTTTTGACGTTCAACGTCCATTTCGTGCGAAAGGGTTGCGGCGGACACCTCAAAATCGCAATTTTACTTAGGTTTTGGACGTCCGATGTGCACGAAAAGCTGCGCCTGTCACGTTTCGTGGCGCTGAGATAGAAAGAACAGCGAGAGAAAGAAAGGAAGAGAGAGAGAAGATCTGCAGATGTGAAGGTGCGAGGATATAGATCTGCAGATGTGAAGGTGTGAAGATGTAGATCTGCAGCTGTGAAGGTGTGAAGATGTAGATCTGCAGATGTGAAGGTGTGAAGATGTAGATCTGCAGATGTGAAGGTGTGAATACGTAGATCTGCAGATGTGAAGGTGTGAAGATGTAGATCTGCAGATGTGAAGGTGTGAAGATGTAGATCTGCAGATGTGAAGGTGTGAAGATGTAGATCTGCAGATGTGAAGGTGTGACGATGTAGAGCTGCAGATGTGAAAGTGTGAAGATGTAGATCTGCAGATGTGCAGGTGTGACGATGTAGATCTGCAGATGTGAAGGTGTGAAGATGTAGATCTGCAGATGTGAAGGCGTGAAGATGTAGATCTGCAGATGTGAAAGTGTGAAGACGTAGGTCTGCAGATGTATTACAACGGCTGCTTTTTTACGAAGAACCCTTCGCAGGCGCTCTCGGGAAAAAGAAGCTCAGGGAAGAATTGGCCCAGGGAAGATGCAGCAGCAACTCAGACAAGAAGCAGCTTAGTCAGGCAATCAATCAATGAGTTGGTCACTCAGCCAGGTGCCCTATCCCGTACCACCTTTGAAATGTCATCCTGGGGTAAAATAATTTGAACGCATGCTTCATGAATCACACAGCTCAACTGAAAGCCTCTTCCGGAGACACCAAGGCTGTTCCTCTGGCCCGGTTCACCAGGCAAAAAACCTTAGCAAAGGTGAGCCCGAAGAATTCCAAGGCAAGAGAAATCATTCACCCAGACTCAGGTGCACTGTGTTTCCATATGCTTTCAGCCCTAGATCTGTGTATGTGTCTGAATACATCCGCATATACATATTTATATATATGTGTGTGTGTGATTGTGTATGTATATATATATGTGTGTATATTTATATGTATATATATATGTGTATATATATATGTATGCATGCATGCATGTATGTATGTATGTATGCACGTATACTACATATTATTTATATATTTATGTATTTATGTATGTATGTATGTATCTATCTATCTATGTATGTATGTATGTATCAGTATGTATAAGTATCTGTATATATATATATATGGATATGGTCCAGACCAGCAACCCCCCCTACCCCCCTGTCATGGTCATGGTCCTGTATGTATGCTGTATGTACGCTGCATGTAGGAGGCTCTATGTAAGACATAGTTTACATGCCCCACCCCCCCCTGTGCGATGGGTGGGGGCTAGGTAGTGTACTAGCACGCTACAGTGCTCCACATCCCCCCTGTAAAATGAGTATATAGGTGTTAAAAAGGTACCATGCAGATAGTGTGTAGGTAGTACGTGGCTTGTACGCATGTATAGTGGCCGCCTAAAAAAGATAAACTATTGTACTCTTAGTGGGGCCAAAGAGAGAATACCCCAAAAGACCCGAAAACACGGGGTTTTGCACCCACAAAACAAAATGTTTAGAAGTTAAAAGATAGAATATTCAGGCGGCGGCTTCTAAAAATAATATTATATATATATATATACAGATAGATAAGTATAGTCCCGCCCCTGGGCGCATTTAAGTCGCAGCTGGGGGGCATGTATAGTATATATATATATAATATATAATTATATATATATATGTTGTTTTATACCGTCACGGTCTACTGTGATTATATATATATAGAGGTCATCTCATTGTGTTATGTTGTTGTTTTTTTCGTCTGATGCATTCCGCAGCAAAATTCGCAACGGCAGTTCTGATCAAGTGTGTTACTCATGTCGGTTCGTCAAAGTGACATGAGCCCCTCGGGGAATACCTGTCTAGTAGGATGTTGGATCCTCCGACTCGACCTCTGAATTTTGGAGCAGTTGGCCATTTTTCCTGTTTCACACGTTGGGCAAGTGAGTGCTGCAACAACTGGCCGCCGTGACTGGCTTCACCTTTTTCTCTTGACAGTTTTCAACTCAGTAATTCGTTTAATTAAACTGAAACAGTTGGCCATTTTTCGTGTTTCACACGTCCGTCGAGTGAGTGTTGCAACAGCTAGCCGCTGTGACTGGCTTCAACTTTTACTATGCATGAAGGTACAGGCCATGCTTTTAGGTGTGGTTTTTACCATCTTTCTTTTTATGGCCTTTGGTGAGGCTCAAGTGCGCATGAATTCGAGGGTTGACCACTTAAGCCGTCCAGAAGGTTGTGACTCGAAATTGGAGGGCCTTGGGGCCTGATCACGAAATTTTGCATGGATGCATCTTTTTGTTAACTAGTTCCCCATTGGTCCCCTAACTCATGCGTGCTCCCGTGTTAGGTCAGGTTTGGGTCCTTCGCGTTTGGCTCTCGCCTTGTAGGTTGTGTCAGGCGCTCCTGTCCGCCCCCTCCTCCTGGTCGGAGTTTGGCCCGTCGTCATTCCGCTTTTTCTTTTCCCTTGCCCTTTCAGGGTTTGCCCGTTCTGGGCTAGGTGTGTTGGTGTTGGTGTTCTCCTTGTTTCCTGTCCTCTTTTGCGTTCCCCACCTCGTGTTCCGGTTAGGTAGTTTGTCATGTCATGGTCATTTCCATCTCACTTTCATGTTCACTTCATCTGTGTGTGTGTAGCATCTGAATAGATGTAAAACTTCTTATTATCGCAGGGGCGTGTGGCACTCATGTCCTACCACACGCAATGAAGCTGTGGGCATGAGTGGGACGGCAAACGTGGCCGATTTCCTGTACCTGCAGATATATTTATATATGTATAGTCCCGCCCCTGGGCGCATTTAAGTTGCAGCTGGGGGAGCGTATAGTATATATCTGTTGTTTTATACCGTCAAGGTCTACTGTGATTATATATATATATATATAGAATAGAGGTCATTTCATCGTGCTATGTTGTTGTTTTTTCGTCTGATGCATTCCGCAGCAAACTTCGCAACGACAGTTCCCATCAAGTGTGTGTGTGTGTGCGTGTGTTGTGTGTGAGTAAGTTCTGTGTGAGTTGTGTGTGTGTGAGTGCGAGAGTTGTGTGTGAGTAAGTTGTGTGTGTGTGCGAGTTGTGTGAAAGTGTGCTGTATGTGAGAGAGTTGTGTGTGTAAGCAAGTTGTGTGTGTGAGTACGTTGTGTGTGTGTGAGCAAGTTGTGTGTGAGCAAGTTGTGTGTGAGCAAGTTGTGTGTGAGTAAGTTGTGTGTGAGAGAGTTGTGTGAGAGAGAGTTGTGTGTGTGCGTGAGTAAGTTGTGTGTGAGCACAGTTGTGTGTGAGAGAGTGATGTGTGAGTAAGTTGTGTGTGTGTGGGGAGAGTTGTGTGTGAGAGAGTTGTGTGTGAGTAAGATGTGTGTGGGTAAGTTGTGTGTGAGCAAGTTGTGTGTGAGCAAGTTGTGTGTGAGCAAGTTGTGTGTGAGTAAGTTGCGTGTGGGCGAGAGGCGGCGGGAGGCAGGAGGCGGAACCAAAAACAAAACCCCACACAAAGATGTGGGGAACTATTTCCTACAGAAATAAGTTTCAATGGTAGGTTGGATATATGTTTGATCCAGAATATTTTTTTGATGACGCAACGGGGGGGATCGAAATTCTCTAGCTCGCCACTCGAAGGCATTTAAAAAAAAATAGTCCACACACAAAATAGACCTTGATGCTTGGTCTAGGTTGCCGCTTGGAGCAGCTATCCCAAATATGAATCCATTTCGGGTTGGTTTAGGATTCATTGATTGTTGTTTTAGGGTCTATTTAGGGTTGATTAAAGCTTTTTGGGGGTCTGTATAGCGCCCGCTTAAAATTTGTCTACGGTTGCTTTAGGGTTAGATTCTGTTTATTTAGGGATCAGTGCCTGCATTAAATAGTTTTAAACATGCATATCCATACATATTTATATATACTTATATTTGATACTATACTATCATGTACACAGAGCAAGGGATCAAAAAAAATGTTGCTGGGATCATAAATATTCCCAAGAGATGCAAAAAATATGTATATCTATGTCTGTGTATATTATATATATAGCTACTTATGCAAATATATATATATAGAGAGAGAGAGAGGGAGAGATAAAGAAAGATCACATAGAATAGATATCTAAACATGAAAAAACAGATAGATATATACATATGTATATATATATGTATATAGAGAAGGTTGGCCATAATTCAATATTCCCATTGGAACCACCGGCAACACGCAGATTGTGTGAGTCTTGGCGGTTAATTACATGTATTTACATCATTTTATGTATCTTTCTGGAACCCCAGAAGAATGCACATAGAAACCGGAATTATAGAACAGAATTGTTGAAATTATTTGCAGAACACGCAATTATAGAACAGAACTGGTAAATGTGAGAAATATGGGGGAAACACAATTATGGAACACAAACAAGAAAAGTTAGGAGTAAGTTGCGAATAAGTTTTTTCCCCAACGTTCTGAGGAAACAGGAATTCTGGAACAACAGGGTACGGTAAACAACCGTACTTTCGTACTCCTCAACTTCCGTTCTATAACTGTGGCAACTCTCAAATATATATATATATAGTTATTTATTGTGCGTCTATATAGAGACATTCCTATGTATATATGTATATGCATGTAAAAATAGTTTGCATATATATATATATGCGGTATGTATGTGTATATATATTTATATCTACTTGTATATATATATGTAAATATGTATGCATATATATGTGTGTGTATGCATGTAAATGTATATATATATATGTTATATAGATAGATAGATTTAGATATACATGCAGAAAAGTGTATTGCAAGTGTGCAAAGTTAGGCTGAATAAAAAAAGCGGGAGGGGGGCGTTGGGGGGACGCCGCAGCGCCTCACCCTAACGCAGAGTGACAATACCTGTTTTCACAAGCAATGCTGTAGTTTGAATACGGTACTCAATGTGTTTATAATGCCGAACATGCCTCTTCTGAACATGTAGAATGTAGAATGTAGGCTGGGGTTGGTTGAGGCACCACGGTGCTGGGTTAAAAATGACGCAAATAGTTTCATAACATTAAAGTGTCGGTTTGGGATTTGTTTTAAGGTTGGTTTAAAGTTTATTTAGGGTTGGCTTTGGGGTTTGGTTTAGAGTTTCTTTAGGTCTGGTTCAGGTGTTTCTAAAGTTGGCTCACAGTTCTTGTTCAAGGTTGTTTTGGGATCCAGTTAAAGTTTGTTTAAGGTTGGTTTTAGGGCTCGCTTAGGGATACAATATGCGCATATAAAGTATCTACAAATATGTGTATATGTATATAGAATAGGATTATGCTCATATGTAAAATATGTATAATATGATCATGTATGATAATGCAAATATATGAATATGATGAAATGATATTCATTCATTCCTTCCTTCCTTGCTTCCTTGCTTCCTTCCTTCCTTCCTTGCTTCCTTGCTTCCTACCTTCCTACCTTCCTACCTTCCTACCTTCCTACCTTCCTGCTTGCTTCCTTCCTTTCCTGTTCATTTCATACTATATCTATTTTGTTTGATCCGGAATATTTTTTTTGATCCAGAAACTTGAGGCCCAGAAGGGGGGCGAACGAAAGCTAAAGGCCACATGAATATGGAAATAGGTGCACTGAACTTGGAAACATTCAGGGAAGTAGAAAGCATGCGCATGTCTCCGGAACCTTTTTGCGGAAGTGAAGTGAAACTGCAGCAGTGTGAAGTGAAACTGGAACAGCGGTGAAAAGAATTGGGGCACAGCACGTGCGCTAGAAACGTGCCAGAGAGATAGAAAATAAAATGCATATATAGGCATATATAAAGTACATATGTATAGATATATATATATACAAATTTATGTGTATATATATATGTATATATATATATATAGATATGAAGAAAGAAAATACAGAAAGAAAACCAGAACACGATATCGACACAAAGAGGCAGACATGCATATACAGGCACAGGAGCTGCACAATGGAGAGGTTCATATGCCGAAGGCAGTTGCATGCTGTGTTTGGTGACATCCGACGGAGGTATGTAGAGCTGCAAACATACACGGCATAAATGCAAGTGACCTAGGACTTTGCAGCCGGCACCGCCATTGAACGATAGGGAGGATTGTATCTGGAGCTGCTTTTGAGCTCACTGCCAAAGTGTCAGACAATACTCATCCACAGGGGCGTCGGAAGGAGTCAAGACGGTTGCAAAGAAGAGGTGTAATGTTCACCTTTCATTCGTAGAACGTGTGAACCAAAGAAGATGGTTACTGTAAAAGTTGGGGCCCTATCCAGAAGTGTAATGTTTGATGGGGCTCAAATCCTCAACCGTTGATCCGAATCGAGCCCACTGCCAAATTGTTGGAAGCTCTGGCGAGCTTGGAATGTCTGAACCAAAGAAGATGGGTACGCGATAAAATTTGGGCCCCACGCAAAATTATATTTGTTTGATGGGGCTGAAATCTACACAGGTTTGACCTGAGTCAAAAGAATTCTATCGAGCCTAATGCTCTGGTGAGGCATATTGCGCAAGAGTTCCTTCCGAACAACACGCAATCTGCCGCTTTGAGATGTAAGACACTTGAACCAAAGAAGATGGCTACTGTAAAAAGTATGGGCCCCATCCAAGGTTGTAATTTTTGATGGGGTTAAAAGCCTCAACTGTGGATCTGAGTCACAAAGAATTCTATCGAGTCCACGGCGCAAGAGTTGTACCCGAACAACATGTAATCTTCGGCTTTGAGTCGTAAAACATCTGAACCAAAGAAAACTAGAGAGTTACACAGGGACGGCCCTGGCAGGATTTAGGAGGGGGGGGGTTCGAGTGAAATTCACTGTGTTGGACTGGACTCAGACCTGACCCTCCCTTGCTGGAGCAAGAGTAACTCCAGCTAGCTACCGCTAGCTTTCGTGAAAAATGTTTTGACCCCCATCCCGGATCGCACAGCACTGCTAGACTGTCCTTTTCCTTCCTCCAGCTTGGGCGACCACGTCGTGAGCCAACAAGAGTGCTCCAGTCCCCTAACACGAAGCGAAGGAGCGAAAATTCTGGCCCTGAAATTGCCCGAACCGCCTTGCCTTCTTTTCCAACGCAGCAGCCGATACCTTTGCCACGTCCACAACAATGTCATCCTGTCGTCTGCCAAACATACACTGAATGCCACAGATGCCACAGGGTTGCACACTTCTTCTCTGATAGGAGATTGGTATACATATGTTATAAGTCACCATTTCGACCACCCAATATACATTTCGGGAATGTGGAAGCAACAAATTATGTATTAAATTGCATTAAAACATCCCACAAATTTGCATCACGTTGTGCTATGTCGTGCTATGACATGCTGCTTCCTTTAAAAGGGGGAAACCACTGGAAAATGTATGTATGCATATAGATAGATCATTCGATCGATGATTGATAGATAGATAGATAGATAGATAGATAGATAGATAGATAGATGGATCGATGGATCGATGGATCGATAGATCGGTAGATAGATAGATAGATAGATAGATAGATAGATCGATGGATCGATGGATCGATGGATCGATGGATCGATAGATAGATAGATAGATAGATAGATAGATAGGTAGATAGGTAGATAGGTAGATAGGTAGATAGGTAGATAGGTAGATAGGTAGATAGGTAGATAGGTAGATAGGTAGATAGGTAGATAGATAGATAGATAGATAGAGAGAGAGAGATATATATATGTATAGATAGATATACGTATATATATATATATAGGAGCCTATTTCATGCGCGGATCTGCCTAGTTCTTGTGTAAAGTATTTCATGAACGAAGGAGCGCTCACAATTCAGAAGGTGCTAAGTTCTAAGTTCAGCTACAAACATAATATGCCATGTTAAATCAATTCGGGAAAAAAGGACTTGTATATCAATTTCATAAAGGCAACTTATGATTGCACTAACGTGCTCGCATGGTTTACTTGTGTGGCGTGCGCACGATGCGAAGATAAGCGTGGCACACTGATTGCAATCAATGACGTGTGCGACATATGGTTGTGGAAGATCTAACTATACTGAATAACATGTGAAAAACAAACTTGTACGTGGGGAGCCTTACCTTGTAGCATCCATGTCCATGTCATGAAATGTCAATTGAGCGATGGTCATAGCACCATTCTTTTTTAGAAGGCCATCTGAAGGAAAGCCAATGAAGGAAAACCAATCACATATCAACTGGGTGTGTGGGATTCCCGTTTAAAATTCAGGGGGAGATGTTGTGAAAGCAAAACGTAGGCACGATACAGAATCTATACCGTAAGTCTGCAAGGTTCAAAAGTTTAGAGGCAAAAAAAAAGTGAGTTCGGCAATTCACTAATGGTATTTTAGCTATTGTAAAACATGTATTAAAAATGGGAATATTGAGATGGAATCATTTTTCCAGGCGTGATCCGCAAAAGTTTGGGTGAAATATCAAGACCCCTGATTCAAAACAGTTTCGTTCTTTTTGGAAAAGAGCACCGCGCACAAACAAGTGGAACTCCTCACGTTCCAAAACATGCCTTTTAGAAAGGCAACAATTTCCGCCTTCAAGATGTTACATGCCTAAACTCATTTGAAAAAATGTTGTCCACAAGAATTTGGTTATATATGTTGCATCAGCAAACATAGCTAAAGTCACAAAGGATGGATAAAAGGACTTGTTGCTGCCAACTGCTAAGCATTACCTTACTTGAGAAAATGCTTGATGACAATTACCATGTGCTTTATATACTTGTCGGCTGATCAAATTACAACAGCACTTCCCTTGAGAATGTTTTCAGTTGACTTTACTTGATCCATTTCACCGAACTTTACGTCTGGATATGTCCAATGATATTTTATCCGAACTTCAGTTCCATGGACTTCACTTGACATTCTTTTCTATGGACTCTACTTTACTTATCTTTACTTGATATTCAATTCAAATGGATTCAAATGGAATTTACTTGACATGATATCGATGAATTTTACCTCAGCTGATATTCAATAACCTTTACAGGAGATTGCTTTCTGTGGGCTTTACTTTTCATTGTCTTCGGTGGACTTACTTGAGACACACCCCAGTTGAATTTTACTTGCGATTGACTAAAGGGGACTTGGGACGCAATTCCATGAACTTTCCCTGTGGATCCAATGTTGGGTCTATTTGCATCTATTTGCTGACATTTGCGGTAAACCTTGTTTTTTGACGTCCGTAGGCATTATTTGACATCCGTAGCCAAAATTTGGCAACATTTGCGGTAACCATAATTTTACCGTAAAATGCTGTGAGCACAAGCGAAAAGTGGCAGCTACCCTTAGAAGATGAGCGGTCAATCCTGAACAGATCACGGTTTATCACGTTTTGTCACGGTGTTTCCGACAAATGTCATAATTTTAAGCGGCAAAAAAGATAATTCATCACGATTTGTCATGATTTTGAACTGCATATGACCATGATCAACTCGCATGCGCATCTTACAAAGAGAGGATGCCTGCGGTTTTTCTCGATTTCCGACAAAATCCGATGGATTTCCGACAGGTTCCGGCAAATGTAACCAAAATCAAGCGTTAACGGAGACGTAGCTGTATTTTGACTACAGCTATTTTTGGTGTATTTAACGACATGGATCCTCAGGGTTTACTTGAGACTGTCGTCAATATACTTTACATGAGATTATCTCTAGTGACCTTTGTTGGAGATGATGTTCAAAAGACTGCAATTGTGCAGACCTTGTGCATGTATTTGCGCTTGTGTGTCAGGTCTCGTGAATTTTCTTGCGCATACCAGAAGACGCTGTGGATTTCACAACGAATGTGACGAAGAAATTGTGAGTGTCGCACGTAATGATTGTGCACCTTTGATGCGCTTGAAATGCACAGTATTTGCACTTTTTAAAACGTCACGTACCTTCATGTAATTTTGATAGAGCTACATGTGAAGTTTGAACAATTGCAAATAAAGTGCTTATACATCGCGTCGGAAGCACATAGCAATCACGCAGGAAATACAGAGAAAATCGCACAAGTTTTAACTGATTTTCTTTGGTCACGGTAGTTTCCGTCAAAGTTCAACTAGGCTGGCATGACACGCTGCGAGAGTTTGTAAGGGTCAAAGTCCAAATTGTTGTTCTTTTAGTGGGTTTGCCTCTGTAGAGGATCAGAAGCATAAATTCCCCGCCGGACCGGAAACCATGCTCGTAAAAGCACGTGTTTTTCAAAAAATGAGTATGGCACCGTGGCGAAACGCGAATTTCTTCCATGAAAAACATCCAAAAAAATCAAAAAATGAATACCAAAATTTGGGTGCGTTCGCGTATTAATTACCACAGTAACAGCTCATTTTCATCGGAGCGTTTTTGTGGAGTCTGAAGGAAAAAAATCATCAGAAGATGCGTTTCAATGCTTCAATCGTCTTCTGCTGCAAGTTGGCACTGCGGTTTATGTACCTCCATTGCCAAGATTTTGCGTGCAACAGTAAAACGCGGCTTTGGGAGGACAAACTGTTGGGAAAGTAATTCTTTAATGTAGACCATGCTGCATCAATAGTACCAGTATGACCAAAAAAAATAACACCGTAGTTGCAAGTTGTGTTACAAAAGTCAACAATGTATATAGTTGGAACTTGATCGAGAAGAAAACAACGTAGTTGCAAGTTGTGCTACAAAAGTCAACAACGTAGTTGGAACTTGATCGGGAAGAAAACAACGTAGTTGGATTTTGAAAAAGAAGATAACAACATATATAGGTGCAAGTTGTGTCAGAAGAGTCGACAACGTAGCTGGAATTTGATCGAGAAGATAACAACCTAGTTGCAAGTTGTGTTACAAGAGCCAACAACATAGTTGCAATTTGAAAAGTTAATAATGTACTTGGCAGTTGCTAGTAGAAAACAAGTCAATAGCCCACCCCGCCCCACCCCACCTCATGCAAGTGGTTAGAAAAGTTACTAACGTAGTTGGAAGTTGTTAGTAGCCAAGGCGTTAATAACCCACCCCACCCCACCCCATGCAAGTGGTTAGAAAAGTTAGTAACGGTTTTGGATCTTTTAGGGTCAAGCGCGGATTCGGAAACTAAAACCACGGATTCGGAAATTAACATGCACGCGGATTCGGAAACTAAGATAATTAAGGAGGACAGGGTTTCGGAAACTGTGATTCGGAAACTAAAAACACGGATTCGGAAACTAAAAGCGCAGATTCAGAAACTGAAACTTCAGATTCGGAAACTAACAGACACGCGGATTCGGAAACTGAGATTCGGAAACGGAAACCATCCATAGGGAGTTGGAAACCGGGAGTCGGATACTAAAACCCGGGGAAGCACAGGAACAGCGAGTTGGAAAAGCGAAACTCGTGATGAAAGGGGACTGGATTCCAACTGTTCAACATGCTGCTTTTGAATCTGAATATTCATGTGCAGCCCCTTCCCCTATTGACTATATGTTATATGGTTGCAAATTCCAAGCCAGCACCGGCGAAATGACTGCAGGGTTGAGTGCCGGATACGTAAGAAACTCATCAGATTTGCATCCTTTTTACCAAGAAATTCATGTTCACTTCCCTCAAGTGGTGGTGGACGGTCCAAGTTCCATTGGGGATGGGAATTTTAATATCATCTTGTCCTTGTGGAAAGTCCAAGTCCAAGTCAAATTGAAGTTCCATGGGGTGGGAATTTTGATATCATCTTATCCTTGTGGATGTGGACAGTCCAGGTCAATTTGAAGTTCCATGGGGGTGGGAATTTTGATATCATCTTTTCCTTGTGAAAAAGTCTAAGTCAATTTGAAGTTCCATGGGTGGGAATTTTGATATCATCTTATCCTTGCGGATGTGGACAGTCCAAGTCAATTTGAAGTTCCGTGGGGGTGGGAATTTGATATCATCTTATCCTTGTGGAAAATCCAAGTCAAATTGAAGTTCCATGGGGGCCGTGGGAATTTTGATATCATCTTTTCCTTGTGAAAAAGTCTAAGTCAATTTGAAGTTTCATGGGGGTGGGAATTTTGATATCATCTTATCCTTGTGGATGTGGACAGTCCAAGTCAATTTGAAGTTCCGTGGGGGTGGGAATTTCGATATCATCTTATCTTTGAGGACAGCCCAAGTCAATTTGAAGTTCCATGGGGGTGGGAATTTAAATG